CGGGGCTGGGCTCGGGCAGGCGGCGGTAGCAGCGGCCCCGGAAAGCCGCGAATGCTCCTCCGCGCCACCGCCTCCCGACGGCGGAAGGGCTGCCCCGGCGGCCATCTTCTCCCCGCCCCAGGGGGCGGAGGACTACTGCGGGGTGTCGGCGGCTGCCGGGGCGAGGTGCAGTAGTGGCTTCTCGGCACCGTGGCTCTCCCGGGGTTATTCCGCCCGCAGCCGGGGCGGTGGCAGAGCGGGCTCGGCGAGGGCCAGCCAGCAGTTAAAAGCGGGGCCGCCGCGGGCCCTGCCAGAAGCCGCAGGCTGTGGGAGTAGGGCGCTTTTACCCGTGCCGGCATAGAAGGGGTCCCTTACCAGAAACCCCTTCAGCTTCTCACTTGTGTGGCTGCCGAGGGGAGAGGACCGGGCCAGCGCCCTCCGCCCCGGCTGCCCTCGCTAGCAGGCGGGCTGGAGATCCGCAGCGGCCGCTGCCGTTCTCGCTGCCCGGCGCGTTCCTGCCGAGCTAGGCGAGCTGGCGAAGGGGCTTGGCATGGGGGTGAAGGGAGAGGCGCTTTCCCCAGAGCTCGGCCGACAGCTTCCAGGGCCGGTGATGGGTGCCCTCCTGTGCCGGCCCCCCGTCCTCCGGGGCCCCTTCCTCAGTCACCCCGTGTGCGTGGTGTTCAGCCCGTCAGGCTGTCAAAGGAACTGGAGTTCGGGCATAACAGCGCTGCCTCCATCAGTGCCCTACAGGCGACGATTCACACGCTTCTTCAGTTGTTACTGAAAAACAGTAGGGGGTCTTGGTTACAAGGCAATTACAGCAGTCAGTGCAAACTCTCTTCAAAAATTAATCTCCACAGGAGAGGCAGGATTTACTTATTTTGTAATGCTGAGCTCCTACTATGATTATTTAATTTTTAAAAAATCAAACAGGCTATGTGGAACGTTTAAATAAGTGAAACATTTTAAAGGGGGGCTTCTATGCTGTTTCAGCGTTGGAAGCAGAGAAGAAAGTATGGGGAGTATGATTAAAAACTTGGTCATAACTTTTATTAATAACTGTCTGTTTCCAGAAGGTATAGCCATGCACCCGCCCCTCACAGTAGTTGCAGGAGCACTTGGCAGTAGCAGCTTTTGCACAGTGGTGCATCTGAGGGGTTTGCACCCTCTGCCATTAACGGTGGAAGTTCCTGGAGGACTGAGGCTGGTTAAGGCAAAACCACAGCACAGAAACATTATAAAAGGAAGGGCCCAGCAGCTAAGAAAAGGCAGAGGTAAAGGCGTTTCAGACTGCTCTTTCTGTTGCTTGGCACTTGCAATTTGAAAAACAACATTCCTTTTCAGGAACTACAAGTCCCAAAGTGCACTGTGGGAAGAATATGCCTCGTACCAGCTAGTGCCCAGCACAAATTCCCAAATATGGATAAGGAATCAATTTTGAAAAAGACTTGCACTGGCTGGATACTCCCCACTGAGACTCACAAAAGGAGTGACACGGCACAAAAATAAGGTAAGTTTGCAGTATACAAAGATATATTCAAGATTTTATTTTGCAGGGATCAGCTAGGAATATTCTGTCCCTTAGAAGGGCAGGACAGCATCACACTGGTAATATTAGAACTGGCTGCTGTTGTAACGGAGGTGACTTTTGAAGCACGACTGTTGTTTCAGGTGGGGAAGTGAGCAGCATGAGCAGCTGTACTACAGAGTCAGATCCTGTTTCCCTGCAGATGTTCCTTATTAATAAAGACCTATGGAAAGATAGATGAGCTGCAACACTCATGCAGTTACATTAGAGGCGGGAAGGGGCCAGGGAGAGGTACGTATTGCTCTAAACAGAAGATCTGTATGAGTTGCAGTGTTGTTAAGAAGCCAGTGTGGAATTAGCAACCATGTGATAACAATAATTATAGGTAAAATTAAGGTAAAATTAATTTCTCTGTAAAGGGATGGTATACTGTTTTTGTAATTCACCCCTCTTCCTAGAGGGGACAGTGTGGTGCCTTGAAGGCCAAAACCTCTTGCCGTCTCTGACCTGCAGATAATAGTACCTCAGTGACAGGATTTTTTAACTTCAGTCCAGGAACAATTACCTATTTTATTTGCGATTTGTTAACAAGCAAAATGAAATAATTCCAAAATAGAATCACCTTAGTGGAGATGAGAGATGGTTTATCTCTAGGCTTGGGCACATGCAAAGCTCAGAGGTTGACCTTGTTGTGGGCAGCATCAGCTCCTGCCTCCATTTCTCTCCCTGGCAGTTGGGCATCTTCCTTGTGCAGCTCCAATGCAGTGCATGAACTCTCTTCTGCTGGGTGACGTCAAGCGCAGCTGGTCAGCCTGATCCGTCAGCCCAGCACCCTCCTTCTCCTGTGCAGGGTCATGAAGCAGCAGAGTCGGCAGAGCACAGTGCTGCCAATGTAGGAGGTGCAGCCCAGCCCTGGAGAGGAGCCTGAGGCCCTTCAGGCTGGTGAAACAAACTGTCACATGGACACTCATTGCCAAATAAGAATGATGCTGTTTTTCCATCTTTCCTTAAATGTGAACAGCTTGAACTGTTTCTAAAGCTGAAAGAGTCACTCTTGTACCTGAATTAGCCTACCCAGCAGGGCTATGCTGCTACACGAACACTGTAGGAAGTCAGCATGTTTGCCTGTAACAATTTCTAGTAACCAGGAAAGCTAAAGTCAAGTAAACTTGCTGTCAGCAACAAGTAGTAAGAGAGAGCATTGCAGTAGGTTTTGTGTCTTAAGTGGGATGTCCTCACCTTTTATCTGAAATCAAGGATTTTTTGGCTGCTGTCATCCTGATTTTCTATAGGAAAAGAAAGCAAGTTTCAGAGGGGCCTTGCTTGTGTCTGCATCAGCTGTGGATTCACAGGTTCCCCTCCTCCCTCTCTTGCCAGACAGTTCAAGGAGAGTTTAGAGTTACAGGCACCTGTAAGAAGGCCTCCAGAGGTAAATCGCCTCAAGTATTAATCCAGATCTGACTGACACATGGTCACAGGGCCAGAGGGCTGGCTATCAGTCTTTTCTGTGGTCTCTTCTGTGTCAGTAGGCTGTTAATAGGAGATTAGCAGCATTAGGGAGACTTTGAGCTAGGAACAGTGAGGAACTATGATTTGATTTGAAGATAAAGAAACCCTCTTACACCCATATAAAAACAAACAGAAGAGCTGGAAATTATAAAAGGCATTATAAACATGACTGAGGAAAGGATAATTTCTAGGAAAGATATGGAGTTTTGTAGTACATCATAGCTTATCAGCAACTCTTTAATAAAGCAATGAGGTCTATGGAGACCACAGGTCCCAGCATGCAGCATTCTGACCTTATCACCACATGCTTTTGTTTGGGTCTGGCTAGACCATAAGATGCTGGAATCTGTAATTTGCTTGTAATTTCCACCAGCAGTACATCCCTATTAAATATGAAGATAGCTGGCTGCAGATCCCTTCAATTAGCCCAGATTCAGGGCTCCCTGAGCTCCTGGCAGGCTGTTGTCAGAGCCCTTGATTGGGTAAAGGTGAACACTTTCTGGCTGTGTATTGAACAGATGGCTGATTGTGATGCTTCACTTTCTTATCTCACTGAGTGTGGTGGCAAGAATCAAACCTATTTTGTTGTTTCAAAAATAGACCTAGTAACAGGCAACTCACGTGATTTTGAGACCATCTCAAAAGCAGTTGCCTCTTATTTTGGCTGCATGAAAACCCATATAAACAAACAAGGACAACAGAAGGCAGAAAAGGCAACTACAGGGGTAGTCACAGCTATAGTCCAAGTGGGAGATATCGCATAACATAAAAGTCTGAGCGAGTCCCTGTTTTAACCTTTGTTACAGATGTACAAACACTGTGTAAGGTATAAACACTGGAAATCAGGAAAATGGAAACGCAAAGTTTCCAAGTTTCACAACTTGTCAAAACTTGAGGTTTAATCAGATGATGGAAAAAGCTTTCTGAAACAAAGGGTGATTTTAAGTTGATTAAGTCTCTTTCTTTGCTCTGTATCAAACAAAATACCAGCCTTGGCAAGGCAGCAGTCAAAGAATAACAGCTATTACTTTTTATTTCATTGTTACTGTTATAATAGCAATAATTAGTGCTGGGTGGGGCATTTCATAGCTTTAAGGTGACTAATTTGGTTAAAGGCCTAAGGCATCTTCTTTTCTACAACCAGTTATTATCTGTGAGAAAATACTAAAACCTGTCTTCACTTTAGGTCAATTAAATCATGTTTGTCTAGCACAGCATCTCTTTGCTCACTGATTTAGAGTCATAAACCCTTCTAATCTTTAATACCTCTTCTCAGAACCCCACCTGCCAAAATCAGTTGTCATCCATTAATCTCCACCTTTCCTCTATTTCAGAAGCAAATGATGTAATTTGAGACAGTATGTTTCTTCTCATTTTTAACCTAGCTTCCTAAATTGTCAGTACTTCGGTTTTCAGAGTTTGTCAGACATCCATCCCTCATTTTGAATGCATATTTACTGCAATCTTCTGTTAATTATCACTACAAACAGGTGATGTGTGTTTTGCATCTTGAATTAGAAATTGTGGAAAATGTAACAGAAGTTAAACTCTTTTGCATCTCAGGCTGCTGGTTCTTGGCCAGGTTTTGTGATATTCACAAAAGTTGTGATGAGAGGTTGTTTTAGGGAAGCCAGGAGTGCCACAGAGTTGCGAGGTAGTGTCACCTGAACTTTGAGAGTGGACCCACTGGGAAGGGCTTCTTTGCTGGTGCAACCTTTGTGTCTTGGTATCATGGTGAGTGTAGCCCCATGTGCCCCTCTGCTGTTTTGCTCACGAACTTGACACAGTGATTAAGAAACTATTGATTTTTTTTATTAATTTGCCTCCGAGTTCTTTTATATAGTCAGTGAATGTGCTGCACTTCTCTTTTGGGAGGGATTTCTCCCCTCCTTCTAGATATCTGTGTGCTATTTTAGGGTCTTACTAGTT